TAGGTTCCATGGCGCTATTCTCCTTCTGACCCTGTTTTCAAGCCCTCTTCCCCCGGGCTGAGAATGCAGGGGGGTTGAGTCTTAGCTTGCACATGGACTTTATTTGGCGACCGGGTTTAATTTGGCTCTCGCGTCTTCTGTGGTGCATCATTCTAGAAATAATCGCTTTCCCATGCTTTCTCTCATTTCTCCATGGTGGTGTCAGAGAGGAAAATGTTCCTTGTACCTTTTTCTGCTCGCTCTTTGTCACAGTGCAAACTGAACAGAAAAGGTGGGGTTTTGTCCATGCAGGTGGGAGTTCACAGAAACCGTAATTGAGGAAGGAGTTTATTACTGTAGCACTGTCCTCCCGTTGTTCATCAGTTTGCTCAAGCAGGCACCAGTAACATCTCACAACATTTTGTGACACTTGTTGTTACTGTTTTTGGCATATCAAATACATCACGGGGAGCTTGCCAGGCTTTGCCGTGAGGGTGAGGTACTCTCGGTAGGTTGCCAGGCTCTCCGAGGGGGGCAGAGGAATTGACCCTGGTCTGCTGGGCAGGTCGCATGCAAGGCAAACACCCTACCACTGTGCTATAGCTCCAGCCCAGGAAGGAGTTTATATACCGTTTTATTAGGGGTGCGAGGGGGCCTTGAGGGAATACCAGCAATTGTCAGGAAAGCTCTGGGGACTGTTGGGGTATCCACTCCTGGGGCATGTTTCCAGGACAGATACTTGAGTGTGGGCGTCTTCTCTTGGCAGTCACTGGCTAGTGGGGCCTCTGTCCCCACACAGGGTCTCCTGGCCAGTGGGTCATTTGGGGTGCCTCAACTTTCGGGAAGACAGGAGGGTCCAGAGATCAGACTCTTCTGAAACGCTGTCCCCCACCCCCAGTATTATTCTGGACCCAGGATGCTTGAATTGAAGGGGGTGTCCCACAGAGAAGTCTCAGTAGGTCTCAAGGCTCATGCTGGCTAGATCCCATTTGTTTCTCAATAGAGGCGGGGTGGGGCACATGCTGAGAGGCCCACACTGTGGGTTTCCTGGGCACATGCTGAGAGGTGGGGTTCCTGGGCACATGCTGAGAAGCCCACACTGTGCTTCTCTCCAGGTCCTCCTCTTGCTGTTTCTTCCCCATTTAAGAATAATCTGTCAGGAGGGAGAAGCAGAGGTGCCGCGCCTGGCTGGCCCACAGACACACGGCAGTTGCTGGCCACAGATGTGTATAGTGCCCCTCAAGCTGCCTCCCCTGTGTGCAGGTGCTGTAGTGTTGCCCAGCTACAGGGGGTGTCCATGCGGGTGAACCTGACAGGGTCACTCCAGGGCTACTGGACAGTCATCAGAGGGGCTGGTATGGACAAGCTCACTCACTCACTGTCTGTGTCAGCCCTGGCAGCACCCAAGGGACAGGCACATGGTGAGGAAATTAGTACCCATCAGAGGTGATAAAGACTTCGTGTATTTGTATTTTTTTAAGGCCATGCTATTACTTCTGAAAAGTCTTGCTTGAAAGTCTAATTGTCTAAAAAATTAGAGAACCTTTCTTGTTGGCTGGAATGATAGCACAGTGGTAGGGCGTTTGCCTTGCACACAGCCAGCCTGCCTGGTTGAGCCGGGTTCGACTCCTCCGCCCCTCTCGGAGAGCCCGGCAAGCTACCGAGAGTGTCTCGCCTGCACAGTAAAGCCTGGCAAGCTACCCATGACGTATTCGGTGTGCCAAACACAATAACAGCAAGTCTCAAAAAAATGGAGACTTACTGGGCCCGCTCGAGCAAATTGATGAACAAAGGGAGGACAGTGTTTGTTTGTTTACTTGTTGGACTATCCTAGATTTTGGAACAATGGAATTCTTCCCTCTGAGAAGTCCACATACCGTTTTTCACATAGACTGAAGAGATGACAGTCCCACCCACAGTGAGTGAGGGCACCTCTTCCCGCCCCATCCCCCAGTGCTGGTTGTTCCTGGTCTTCTTTATGCATGACACTCTCAATGATGAGAGATGATGTCCAATCGGTTTTTGTCCCTTTGTTTGGGGGCCACACCTGACAATGCTCAGGACTTATTCCTGGCTCTGTGCTCAGGAATCACTCCTGGTGGGGCTTAGGGGGACCCTGTGGGTTGCACGTATGCAAGGCAAGCACCTTACCTTTGTACTCTCTCCAGGCCCTTGCTGTTAGATGTGCGTTTTCCCAATCATTGGGGGCGAGGAGCACTTTCCATACGAGGCTTGTTCTTTGAAGATGAGCTCAGTGCTCTCTCCCTCTCCCTGGCAGACTGGAGTGGAATCGTTGCCTGTCAGGCGCGAACAGCCCAGCTTAATCTTCTTAGAGCGCCTTCTATTTTCACACTTTCTTGAAAGAAAATCCCTGAGAGAAGCAATGTCTAGCATTACACATTTATTCCTTCTACTTGCAGACCTGCATTTCTTCTATTGTTATGTATATTGGGGTGACACCTACCACTTGGCAAACAAAGTTTTTATTTTAATTAATTCATGTTAATAAAACACTGACCTTTTAAATATCTTTTCATGTAGCTCATCTATCCTTCAGGTACCCAGCATCATCATTTCAATAATTTTTTTTTCATTCAACCTTCAGTTTGCTTATGTTAATTCACATTTCCTCCACGTCTTCCTATTACACAAATAACCTTTTAGGACAAGCAAGTAAATCAAGAAAGACTTGTGCCAGGACTCGGGACGTAGGCGGTGGGAGTGGGTGTACGTGGTGCTTTGCTGATACCTTCCTGGCTGTTGGTGCTCACCTGACTTGTTGCATTGAAAAGGTTGTGGCTGAGGAATCGTGCAGGCGGGACCCACCCCAGGAGGACGACACCACGGAGCCTCAGAAGACCAGCCGGCGGAGATGGGGCTCAGGGAGGAGGTCCAGGCCTCGGCCGCTGTCTGACTATGGCCACTTGGTCAGCCGAAGTTTGTCTATTCCTGAAGATGCAGTTGCTGGAGACCCCCAGGAGGAGGCCAGTGTGACCAGTGCCCCCCAGCCAGGCATGGCCTCCGTGGAAGCTGCAGAGCCGAGTGCGGGCTCAAGCTGCCCCAGAGGGAGCCGGCGAAGACGCCCCATGTCTGTGATAGGCGGGGTGAGCTTCTATGGCCAGAGGCGGACTGAGGAAATAGAGAATCTTCTGACCCAAGTAAGATCGGGTGTGCGTCGGCCAACGCCAGCGGCCCTCTGCTTCCTGTCTCTGCCACAGGCTCATCAGGCCTCTGCTTTCTCTCCTCTCTCTGCTCGAGGATGACCCTTACTCTCCGCCTTTCCTCCTGACTCTCTGAAACATGCCTCCTACAACTAACCACCTGGTTACTCGGACGCTTGTCTCTTGCTTGAACTCTCATCTTGTCTGGGAAACTATTGTACAGATTGTTCCAAAGCAGCTGATATTTGAGTTAGGGGGTAGCAGTGCCTATTTAGGAAGCACTCAAAGAAGAAATTTCTTTCATTTCCTTATTTTTTGGTGTTTGGGGCCATACCTGGCAGTGCTCCGGGCTTATTCTTGACTATGTGCTTAGGGACCACTTCTGGTTGGGCTTGGGGGAGGGGGTGGGATAAGGGGTACTGGGGATCAAACCCAAGTCAGCCACATGTAAGGCAAAGACTCTATGCATATGCTATCCCAAGAAGAAATTCCTTTTATCAGTGTCCTTATAGACAACAGGTAAAGATAAGAGGGTGAAAAAAGAGAAAAACAATTTTTTTTCTTCAGTGGATCAGCAATCTTTACCCCTCAGTTGTAGCTTAATAGCTGTTTTGGCAATAGATTAGGATATTACTGTTATGCCCTTTGTGAATCAAGAACCCAAAAAGCTCTTTGAGGTTACAAAACATTTAAATAGTGGCCCGTTTCAGAGGGAAATTCTGTTATTGGCAAGACGAACAATTCAGCCTGGGCTGTTCTCGGAACAGTGTATGTATGGGGAAGTACCAGTTTCAGTTTTGAAAATTGCTCTCTGATAGTATCAGATAACTCACAGAATTTATATTAAATGGAAATTATACATCACTGCGGAATCAAATGTTCACTTTGTGCCCTTGGAGCCCAGGACAGGGCCTCATTTGTCTCAGACGCACCCCAGACTCCCCCTAATCAAAAGCGAATTCTCCATCAGGTTGGAAGATGCTAGTCTCTTCTGTTAAGAGGTTTTACGTGCCAGCAGTAATGCTGAACTTTACAAAGTAAATGAAGCTGTTACCCCGTGGCCCAGGACAGAGACTTAGGAGCACTTCGGAATGATTTCACTTCCCAGCTCCTTCTGAAAGGCGCCTGCAGGAAGGAGTTTGCTGCTCTGCCAGCGAGTGGCGGCGGCTGGGTGGGAACGGCCTGCCATGCTCCATCCTGGCATTCAGCGTGTCTTCCTACCTCCGACAGTCGTTTGCTGATCTGTGGTAAGGCAGGAAAGTCGAAGGGTCTGGCTAAGATTCTCAGAGTCTGGCACACGGGCGGAAAGCCAGCGTTTCCCTGGGAAGAAACAGAACCAAGCTCTGTTGTCACGCTAGCATCTATAGGGAAATGGGACACAGACCTTGACAGGTGTACAGAGTCAGCCTGTGGGTGAGTCAGAGGGTGGCAGGGTCCCGTTTCCGGCTGGCACAGGGTGCCAACCTGACCATGGCCTTGGCACTACCCAGCACTTTCCGGGCCTGCAGCTGGTAGCACCTCCCAGCCCCCGGGCCCTGCACGTGCACGCGAATCCCGTCGCTTTCTGAAACTGCATTTCTTCTACTCAAACCCTTTGCTTCTCCTGGGCCTCCCCCCTGCCCCTGTCCCAGAGAGGGAGATGCACGCGTGAGCAGAGGGCCTGCGTGTCGGGGTTTAGGACTGCCCAGGACGGCGGCCATCGGGCCTGCAGGCGGCCTCACACCTTGGCGGGGCCGGAGCCCCACAGCCCGTGTGCAGGCAGCCCTGAGGTGAGCAGGCCCAGCCATGCAGCTGTGCTTGCGGCTCACCAGGCTGCCACTTCCTGGCATCTGCTCACAGGCTTTTGCTTTCCTTTTGCAGCCAGCAGCCAGGCCGCCCGTGCCCGCTCACCAGGTGCCCCCCTATAAGGCCGTCTCCGCCCGCTTCCGGCCGTTCACCTTCTCCCAGAGCACCCCAATCGGGCTGGACCGCGTGGGACGGCGGCGGCAGATGCGTGCGTCCAATGGTGAGTCTTCCCCTCCGTGCCCGTGCCTCCCCCAGATCAGCCTGCTGCATGCCTGGTGACCGGCGAGGCTGGCCTCTTCCTCACTGCCCCCTCTCTCCCATGATCCAGAGTGTGATCCTCTCCCAAATCTAAGCGCCAGTAGGTGGGCTCCAGCTGAGGAAGCAGTCTCAAGATTGCACCTGAATTGGTTTTGGTTTGGGGCCGCATCCGGCGGTGCTCTGGGCTCACTCCTGACTCTGTTCAGGGATCACTCCTGCGAGGCTTCGGGCCCCTGCACAGTGTTGGGATTGAACCACGTCTGCCATAGGCAAGGAAAGTGCCTTTACTCCTGTCCTGTTGCTCTAGCCCTTCACCAGAACTTTTTAAAAACTCTCCGGATATTTGAGATTTACTGATTTACAGCTTGAACACGAAAGAAAACGATAGCATAGTTATTTACTGTGCTGTCATAGGGCTTAGTACTGGTCGATTTGCGCTAATACTTAGTGTGTGGGGAATGACTTTAAAAAAAATTTATTATTAAATTATTATAAAATTTATTATAAAATTATTTTTAAATTTATTATTTATTAGTGAAACACCATGAGGTACAGTTGTAGACTTACAAATTTTTGTGCTTGGGTTTCAATTATATAATGTTCGAGTACCCATCCCTCCGCCAGTGCCCATTTTCCACCACCACTGATCCCAGTATCCCTCCTACCCGATCCTACCCTGCCTCTGTGGCAGGGCACTCCCTTTTGTTCTCTCTCTCCTTTTGGGTGCTGTGGTTTGCAAAAGAGGCATTGAGTGGAAGTCATGTTTGGTCTGTAGTTTACTTTCAGCATGCATCTCCCATCGGGGGGAATGACTTTTAAATCCCCCAGAGAATCTTCCCCTGTGCTACTGTTCAGCACAGCATCGATGAGAGATTGGCCAGTAGCATGACCCGGCAGGCACTGGGTAAGAAGCGTTAGTGGTGGTCGAGCACTTGCCTCAGGGCCGGCACTTGCCTCCTCTGTCATGTGGAGGGTCAGTTCATCCCTTCAGCAGCCACGTGCCCTGGTGGACACTGCAGTGGACCTCATTTCACTGACAGGGAACCTGAGAGTCAGTGGATGAGCTGCAGAGGGGCGGAAAGGAGACTTGAACCTGTCGTCAGGTAGGACTTTTCATTCCAAGAACCTGGTTTTTAGGCATTAGACTACACTGACTCTTTAACGTGTGGCAGCTATTCACAGTCATCGTTTCAGCTGCTGAGCTGGCTTTCTTTTAAAACATTTCTTGGATTTGCTTTGGGGGTCACTCCTCTCGGTGCTCAGGAGCTATTCCTGGCATTGTTTGGGGCACCTCCAGGGCTGGAGGGTGAACCCAGGCCTCCTACTGCCAGGCATGCTCTCCTGCCCTTGGGCCTGCTCTCTAGCTGCTGACTGTAGGGGAAGAGGGAGGAATTGGGCCACACACCTTACTGCTGGCTCTGGCCTGGAGTGACCCCTGGTGGGGCTTAGGGGCTGTGTGTGTGCAGGGTGGAGCCACAGGTATGGCTGGCTCAGCCCTATATGAGGCGACTGACCTCCTGTCCTGCCTCTCCTTCCCCTGGTCCTTTTGAGGTGAATGTCCTGTAGCTGGTGAGGGGGGAAAAATTGGCTGAAGAACAGGTTGGTTCTGGTTGCAGCTGTGCCATTGATGGGCTGTGTGGGAAGTTCTCCACATGGACATGGGGCCCAGGGCCACAGGGTATATGGGGTTTAAGCAAGTCTCTCCTTTCAAGTGACTTAAGAAAGTTGAATCTGGAGAACATTTAGTTTTCTGGGAGAGGTTGGGGCAGCCGAGGGTCACATGTGAGGAGGGAAGGAAGTCAAGACTGCGAGTAGAAGTCACTAGGTAAGGGAGATGTTTGCACAGGTTGAAGAGGGTAACCCTGGCAGCCAGAAACGGGGCCAGGAAAATCACTGATGGATTCTGACAAAGACATTCTTCCTGGATTCAGGGGCCCACTTGGCAGTGCTCCGGGGGAGTGCTCTTGGCTGTCCCTGGGGGACTGTGTGGTGCTGGGGATCAAATTTAGGCTTCCTGCATGTGACCCACATGCCCCAGCCTCTTGAGCTGTCTCCCCAATACAAACATCCCTGACAGTGTTCTGGGCCAGGATCAGGGGCCAAGGAGCTAGAGGACAAGGGAGGAAGAGAGAGGAAGAATCACCAGCCTTAACGTAGGAGGAGCAGCAATGAAAGTCTGGGAGTGTAAGAGGGGCTGAGGGAACAGGCCATCAGAGGAAACATCTGTGCTCAGAGCTGAGGAACTGGACAGCTGAGTCCCCTCCCCACACAGACTGCCCCCCCACACCCCAACACCAGCTGCGTCTGCCCCTGCTAGGTGCTGGCTGTGTCCCCAGCTCATACTCCCAGCGAGCCCCTAAATCCTGCAGCTATTGACAAGTATCTACACCCGATTCTGATCTGGCCTCTCGCTCCTGAGAGCCCCATCTCACCCCTACCCCCTCCTTCCTCTCCTTTCCCCATCTCAGCATCCCTTCATTCAGTACTCCAAGCTCCCTGCCCCGGACACTCTGGGTGATACCACACGTGCATCCTATCCTTCTGCAGAGCAACTCAGCAACGGCTCCAGTTCTTTCTCTGACCCAGTTGATAACTTCTGGCAATGCATTTTGAGAAAATTATCCAAAAGGTTCCAAAGAAAGAAACAAATGAAAATTGAACCTTCACCCCTCCCCTGCCCACCCTCACACACCTTGCCAAATGTTCTTTCGTTATGATTTGTTGTGACACAAAAATTAAAACAAGGTTAATGTCCAGTTACCTTGGAATGGGGGAGATGGCTTTGAAGCAAGTGGCTAGGTACTTAGGAGAACCTGAAAAATAACTGCCACGATCATAAAGATAAAAGGAGGAAGGGAAGTCACCTGAGTGCTTAAGAACTCAGGGCTGCCAGAGCAGCATTCTATGGCTCAGCTGACCTCAGCGGCAGGTGTTGACCTCACTTCTGGAGGTGGGACGTCCACAGTCAGGGTGTCTGAGGGGCTGGTCCCTTCCTGGGGCCACGGGGGCATCTCCCTGGCCTCTTCCTCATGTGCGTGGCTTCAGTAGCCTGGGCCCTGGCATCGCATCTCTACAAGAAGATGTGGCATTTCCCCAAGGCAGTCAGACCAATGATTCACTTTCACTTCATTATTTATAAAGAATTTTATTTCCAAACAAGGTTGCATTCGCTGGTGCATTTGGAGTTCAGCACATTTTTGTTGCTGGTGGTAGTGGTGGTGGTAGGAGATAAGAGTTAGAATCCATCTTCTAGCATATATCCTGATGAAATGCGTGATGTATACACATGTGTGGTCACGATATTAATGACACTAGGCAACAGTTAAATGATATTGTTGTGTGGTGGGGTTGGAGCAATAGCACAGCAGGTAGGGCGTTTGCCTAGCATGCAGCCAACCTGGTTGACCCAGGTTCAATTGCTCCGCCCCTCTTGGAGAGTCCGGCAAGCTACTGAGAGTATCTCGCCCACGCGGCAAAGCCTGGCAAGCTACCCGTGAAGTATTCGATATGCCAAACACAGTAACAAGTGTCACAATGGAGACGTTACTGGGCTCGCTCGATTTGCAAATCGATGAACGATGGGAGGACAGTGACAGTGACAGCTGGATGGTGGGGAGGTGGGGGGGGGGGGTTGGGAGTGGGGATGTTGGTGGTGGGAGTTAGATGGAGGGGAGGTACGTGGGTGGGAGGTAAGTGGGTGGGAGGTCAGTGGAGGGGACATCAGTGGTCAGACTCTGGATGACCCTTCTGCTGATTGAATTCTCATGGAGGATGGACATGAATGAGCACTATAGAACCATGATGAGGGGGCAGTGTGACTGACCTTCCTTTCTTTCCATGGTTGGTCTCTGGCCCCCTCTCTTCTGGTGATGCCCATTGTAGTGCTCACATAGCCCCTGGGTGCTGCTCGCCAGGTGCCAGGCTTGTGCACACGGTGCTTAGCCCAGCCATGGTGTCTGCACTGGGCCGAGCGCTGGCACAGACTCATTGCAGTGCTTGCCAGGGGCCATCCCCCTCCTGGCTGCACTCTCCCGGTCCTGGCTGTGGTCACCTGGAGACAGCACAGGTGGCACCTCATATAGCGCTTGGGCTGTGCTCAAGCCTGCGCTTGCCGGGGAGGCATTTTTTGCCCTGGAGCAATCATTGGACCCCTTTATCATTCATTTATTTTTTTTTAATTTTTATTAGTGAAACACCATGAGGTACAGTTGCAGACTGACATATTTTTGTGCTTGGGTTTCAATTATACAATGATCAAATACCCTTCCCTCCACCGGTGCCCCTTTTACACCACAACGGATCCCAGTATCCCTCCCCCCCTCCTCCCTCTGTGGCAAGGTATTCCCTTTTGTTCTCTCTCTCCTTTTGGGTGCTGTGGTTTGCAAAAGAGGCATTGAGTGGCAGTCATGTTCGGTCTATAGTCTATTTTCAGCATGCATCTCTCATCCTGGAAGGGTCCTCCCGACACCCTTTACTTGGTGCTTCCCTCTCGATCTGAGTTGCCTTCTCTGTCAGCATGTGCAGCTGGCCTTCAAGCCATGGAGTGAACCTTCTGGTACTTATCTCGGCTATTCTTGGGTATTAGTCTCCCAATTTATTACTTCATTCATTTATTTTTGTTGTGGTGACTAGTGTAGGGCTTATAAGACTGTTCAGGGAACAGTTCCTACTCCACACCTGACCCCCCACACCAGCTGCCCACTGCCGCTTTGGTGACTCAGTTCTGCATCATCCAAGGCTCCCTCGGTTCCTGTGCCTTGCTCTGAAGTTGATGGCTCATAGTTCCCCCACCTCCTTCTGACTTCCTGTCCTTAGCATGCCACCCGCATTTCATTCCTCTTGCCACAGAAGGCGAGATTTCATCTTCTAGAGTGCAGGGCTGTGTTTCCGTGGTGGTCTGGGTTTGCCTACTCTGTTCTTTCGCCGCTTGTGGTTGTTGGACACCGAGGTTATTGCAGACTC